GAGGAGTGGCAGTGCGAGCATGAATCAACGACCTGAGTTAAGAAGGAGCACGGGGCCGAGTACGGGGCCAAAGCTGAGCATTCCTAGGAGAGCCTTTGCTATGAGTGGAGCAGAGGCTTCCCAATCTGAAGAGTTGATCTAAGGTAAATGTGTAATTAAAGCCATAATTGCTTGATGTGGTTTATTAATATAAATATATGTGGATTGCTATATGTTATTATGTTTGATTTATATGATGATGATGTGAATATGTGTGTAGAAATATATATGGATAATTTCGTGAGTATAAGTGTATATGTTGGTTTGTGATTGAATTGAAATTGTTTATGATTAGAATTAGAGAAGAGAGGGTGGTGGTGACACCAACAGTGAGAGTAGGTGCAACACAGGTCACACACTCTCCTCTTGACTCGGCCTCATACTAACACCTTTGTTTGGAGGCTCAATACCACACACGTATTCGTGGAGTGGGAGCTATCCGGCGACCATCCATGATGTGAAACTGAGTAAGTCCCTGAAGTTGAGGCCATTGGAAATCTGTGATCACAGTGCCACAATGAGCATGGCTACGTACAGTGAGTGCACGTTGTGTAAATTGATTAGAGGTGCAGTGAGCGCACCCGTGTGTAAATAGATGTGATTTACTTCCATGTACAGTGAGCGTACGTGTATGAATGATTGATATATGCTTTGAGGTGCGTGTGATTCCGATAAATGACTTATATTATGTAATGTTTTCAACATGCAAAGTGAGTCTCTGTGCTTGTATGTGATAGTGTAGAGTACTCACCCTTATAATTATTTTCTCAAGTGACCAAGACAATCAGCACCAAGCTCAGTGAAGGGTTGGATGATACTGCGAATATTTATTTTTGGAACTAAAATGTATTAATCATGTCCTATAGCAATGATTGATTCAAATTTGTAATCCATCTTATTTTGAAATACTTTAATGAACTATGTATTAGGAACCGTTTGAATGAAAATTTTTATTATTCCCATTTTACGAAATTTATTTATTTGAAAATTAAATTAAGGTGTTACACTAGGAATGTTTACTACTCCAAGCATGGTTATCCTCCTGCCATCCATGCTGCCCCAGGCACCTATGTTTCACAATTATGACTCCTCTATTAACAATGTTACCCGTGCAGCAACAATTGAAGCACCTCTTGCTTTCATGGAGGGTTCATCCAGCAGTGGACTGGGTTTAAATCTAACCTAGGGCCAATATCAAAGCTTCATGAGTCTTCTCTAACATCAAACCCTTGAAGCTGGTGGAGCAGGTTCTGTCCAGCCCAAACAGGCCAATCTCACTCATGCCACCACAAATGGCCCAACTTAATTTACTGATTTCAATATTAGTACCTTTTTTGCTCTTTGCACCACCTCACACACGACACAAGTCATGATCTTTTTTTTTTCCAACGGCCAATATGCTGCACACAGACACAAAAATGTTCCTTGGATAATTGACTCAAGGGCTATAGACCACATTGCCTCCTCCTTAAATTATTTTCTCAACTATTCTAAAATCAAACTTGTCCCAATAAATTTACCTAATGGTGTCATTGTCTTTCCTTCTTTTTCAGGAACTATCCAACCCCAAATTTCATAATTTATGATGTGCATTATGTGCCTAATTTTAAATTCAATTTACTCTCAATTTTTAAACTCTTATCTTCCCTCAATTATTTTCTCACTTTTTCTGATTTTCATTGTCACATACAGGAAATGAAGTCCTTGAGGATGATTGGTTTGGCCAAATTGAAGCAAGATCTTTATCACTTGGTCTTCAACAAGGATTCTAAAGTCTTCTCCATCTACCTAAAGTCTTCTCCATCAATAATTTCTCCACTTCACCTGTGACCAACACGAACCTTTGACATTTTAGATTAGGACACCTTTCAAAAAATTGTTTAAATGTTCTTAAAATGAATTTTCTTTTTATTTCAAAGCATGTTGATGAGAATTGTGATATTTGCCATTTGGCAAAACAAAGAAAATTGTCTTATACTCCAAGTGTTAGTAAAGCTTCAAGTACTTTTGATTTAATTCATATGGATATTTGGGGACCTTTTTCACATCCTTCAGTTCATGGTCATAAATATTTCCTAACAATTGTTGATAATTTTAGTCGTTATACTTGGTTGTTTTACTTAAATCAAAGGGTGAAGTTAAAGCACATGTTCAAAACTTTGTTAGCCTTAAATCAATTCAACTATACCATTAAATGTATCCATTCTAATAATGGTCCGAAATTTCTTCAAAAAGAATATTTTTCTTCAAAAGATATTTTAATTTGATATATCATTTGTGAATTTTAGATTTCAGTTTTGGAAGTTATAAGCATTTAAAGTTGATGTTGAATTGTTATCAGAAAATGATCACTTTTGGTGCAAAAAGGAAACACTCCAGAGCCTGTTTTGAAGAATGTAGCTGTGCGTGGTCACTCTCAAGACTAATAGTGAGTGTTCTAGAACCATTTTTAGGGAGCAGGATACGTGTTATTACTTTAAGTGTTCATAGTGATAACACACACTACGCATGGCTATTATCTCCATCCATAGTGAACACTCCAAACAGGAACACTACAGGAGGTTCTTTACGTTGTCACTTTCACCACTCATAGTGACAACATCAGGAAAGCGTTAAATTTATTATAAATAGACCTCCAATTAGAAAGAAGGGACCTTTTTTCCATTTACTTGTACTTTTTCATTTCTAAGCTTTTACAAGATTAGGGTAGGAGTTCTGGGGTGGCTCCCAAGAACTCAACTTTAGGGTTTTATTTCTTTCCCTTTTCTCACTCTATTTGTTTGGTTTTCTAAACATTGATTGTTTGTAATGTTGGATTCCATCTTTATAGAAGGCTAAATTTTGAGAATAAATTTGTAGTATAGTTCATCTATTGACGCTGACATAGAGCACTCGCTTCTACTCTTTGTGAGCTCCAATAGCTCTCTTTTTTGCTCAAAGACTTAAGGATTCATTGCTCTAACCATGTTGTTCTCTATTGTGATAGCCAAAGCACTCTATATATAGACACAAATCCTATTTTTCATGAATAGATGAAACACTTAGAAATTGATTGTCATATCGTTTGGGAAAAGTTATTGACTAGCCTTATGCATCTATTGCCAGTTTCTTCTTCACATCAACTCACAGACATCTTCACCAAAGCACTCCCTCCAAGATTGTTCAACTCTAATTTATCCAAGCTAGAGCTTCTTGACATCTTTGAACCTCCAGCTTATGGAGGGCTAAAAGAAGAAGAATCTAACTTTGCATGAAGCCCATATTGCTCAGCCCAATTTGTGTAGACAATATAGCCTATTTGTATAGAATTGTTTCTTTTTTTTTTTTCTTGCATTGCAAGTTGTATATAATTAGTAAACTCTAGAACATTCTAGAAGAGGTTGAGTTGTATTCTCTAAGGTGTAATTTTCTGTTATTCTTTGTTCTTATCCTTTTAGGTCATTGTCAATACATACATTGTATTCATGGATTTCATCAATACCAATCATCATTTCAATCATTTATCTCAAAGCCCCTCTTGTCATTCTTTTCTTTTATCTTCCTCATCAAATTCATAATCCTTAGGATACAATGAACAATAAAACAAAAAAAAACAATCTTTGAAACAACTTGTGGTCAAGCTTCTTTCCTAGGATCAAGTTGACAACTTCAGGTGAAGCTAGCTTGTTGAAAACAACATCGATGAAGCAGAAAGGAATGCCCACCCACTACTGTTGCTGCCATGATCTTAAGAGTAAGTGATCAATGCAAGTAATGAATTGGTTACACTACAAAGGGTTGGTTCTAGATCAAGTGAACTTATGAGATTCTAAAGAAGGAATGGTAAGAATATGACTTGTGCTCTTCACTTTTCCTAGATCTGCATAACATGACGTAGTGATGGTATTTGGTTGAATGCTTTTTTATTAAAAAAAAAGTGTTATATGTTTGTTTTTCTTTTTAAAAACACTTTTTTCATTTTAAAAATAAAATATAATATAAAAAGAAAAACAAACATACTTTTAGCTTCTTAATTCTTCTTTCTTTCTATATTTTAATGATAAGTTCACACTTCATATAGAAGATGCGGCAAAAAATATTAGGAAGATCTAGTTGTCTATAGACACTCCATGCAAGTGCATAGTTGTATATGCTTTTATATATATATATTAAAAAATTGCATGCTAGTTTCACTATTTTTGGTTATGTGGACTTATGATTGACCTCCCCTCTTCACACGACATCCCACACATTAATAAAACTTAACAAATTATTAATAATTAAATCAACTAAATATTATTTTATTTTGTATTATTTAAAAAGAGTTTTGATATATTCTCCTAATAATCTTTCTAATATTTTATAAAATAAGTATTAAATAAAAATATTCATTTATTATTATATTAAAAATATAAACAGAAGTTGATCCAAGTAGCAAGCGACTCAGTGTCACTTAAGTAAAATTTTATGTTGGAGTCTTTACGTATGTAAAGAATCTTCAGTAATAATTTTACCCATTACACCCACGTACGCGACTTAAGTCTAATTCAAATTAAATTAGATGGGAAACCAAAAAAAAAAAAAAACATAAAACATATTAAATACTTTTTTCATTTAGTAATTAGGAGAATTTATAAGAATAAAGAGTAGGAGTTTAGAATTATAATGTTGAGTATTAAAAGTTAATTATAATAACAGTAAAACAGATGTTTAGGTTTAATTGTCCATATTAAAACATATATCAAAGCATTGTGCTTTGCCGAGCCACTCTTTTAAGCCTTTATCTTAATCTATTTGTTGGTTCTTTGCAACTTTATTCAGGTGTTCACCGTAGTCTTGATTCATTGACCATCAATGGTGAATTCTATCAATGATTGTCAAGTCCTTACTACATTCTTCCAAATGAAAATATTGGTGACACTTGTTTCGGCTCAACTCAAGCTAAAGCAGTTTGATTTTCGAAAGAAATAAAGTAAGCAATGGCTAGAACTGGAAATTATTAACATTGCTGCATAAATTTCAGTATTTTTTGTCTTACGACAATCATACAAGTTCACTATTAGTACATTGAAGTGGATTTTACAAGTTCGTTTGACGTCAAGGTATAACATCCCTCTTCTTCGTAATCTTTTGAAAAACATGACAAAATCGAAGAGAATGTTGAAAGATACATTACCCCATACTATAAAACGGCTATGCACATATTGGAGAAAATTTGGATATTTGAACCCCATTTATGTGCCCTGAAGAACATCAAAGTAAAACATGATAACTTCACTTTTTTCTTCCTTTTGGCAATGCTGAATTACACCCACAGAACCACAACAAATGACTCCCCATAAATATCTCAGACTATACTAGGAGGATCCCCTGACCAGCTGCAGACAGCACGGGGCCAGCGTGTCCTTATGCAATCTACTAAAGGAGCATGCTGAGAAGGCTCAGGTTTAATTACTGCATTGTCCTTCCCTGTAGATTCATTTGCACTAGATGCCGAGGAAACTGTCACATCTGCCATAAATTCCTCAGGCGTCCACCTTGGGGGGACGGAAACAGTCAATTTTGTGAGCCTAGGTCTTTGTAATGGAGTTTCACCCCTAGAGTTTACTTGACTGCCATTCAGATCTGATTTAGCAATCCCATTAAAATGGTAAAGATCAAAGATTTTTTTACCCATCAAACCTGATGAATCCTTCAAACCTCCTGAGCTCTTGTCCAGATCCAAAATGACCTGCCAAAACTCACTCCATACAATGAAACCTGTACTGCAAAGGTGCTCAAGCTTCTCTTGTGGAAGTTTGATATTTGTTTCTCTAAGAACTTGATGGAATCCATCCACACTAATGAAACCACCACCTCCACTCTGATCTTGTGCATCAAAAGCTTTGCGAATCTGTGATTCCCTCTCTTCCAGTTCATTCTCATTTTGAACACTAGTGTCAAGGGCAAACAGTACTGTGTAATGGGATTCACTGCCAACAACCCATATAGGCCACTTTGGGCATTTCAAAAACTGACCAACCTTACAAAAATTCAGAGACTCTAGCAACGTGAGAAATCCAACTTCCACATATTGGGATATACCTTTCAGAAACATTCCTCCACCTAAATCCATCCTCCCATCAAAGACATTAGGGACAGCTTGCCCACAGAGCAGTAAATTTACAATTTCCTGCAACATCATTCAGAAAAAAAAAAAAAAAAAAAAAAAAAACTTCTAATATGCTCTGATAGATTTTAAAATGTGTGGCAGTGAAAAGGACATCAGCATTTTAAATTACGCTAGTATATATACCTGAGAGGCATGCCCAAAAGGAGCAGTAACCAAAGGTAGGCTGGGATCATCCCTGTCATTTTGAACCGCGTCCTAAATGAAAGCAAGGAATTGCATGCATTAACATGATCCCATTTCATAAGAAATAACAACCAATCCAAATCAACAGTTACATGTTTGCATTGATGACACTTAACTGGCTATTGCATTAGGAAGTGAAGACTCGGTTCTTATTTAAGTCAAAAAAATAGAACACAACAATTTATTAAAGCATAAAGACAAAATTTAAACTTCCTCACTTTACACATCTTTGAACAAACAAAGCCATTCTCACAACATTAGCTCAAAATTTAAGAGGTCGTCATCTGGACACAAATTCTGGATTTATTCTCACTTTGAAGCTCACAAGCTAAATAGGGAGTGCAAGTAGCAGGAAAAGCCCCCTAAATTGAGCTTGTTTCTAAAGTGAATAAGGATGTATTCACCTTTAATTTAATTTAATCTACAATGTAGCATTACCTTAATCCATTAAATGGTTTTAGAGTGGATACAGCGACAGTGGCTCACTTACAGACAAGTTCACTTCAGAGGATCCTTTTACAAAAGACTGACTGCCTTTCAACTTGAAAAAAATACAAATTTAAGCTAACTCAGTAAGGAAATAAATAATAACTGAAAACAATAAGAAATGTTGTCGGCAATCTCAATCTTAGTCACCAACTCATATTTTGTGAGATCAACTGGGATTGTCACGCTTTATGGCAGGGTGTCTGGGATCAAAGAATCCCAACATGCTTGCTGAACCACCATTGACTCTGGAATATTAACTCATCTGAGAGAAAAAGAAAAGGGAGAAAAGTAAAAACTGACACACCACAAGTCCCGTTAACATAAAATCAGTAATTCCCACTTCAATCGTGTTGCTGTTTGACCTGTGCACTTTGAACTGGTTGTTGCTCCCCCACCCTGGTTGCTGATGGCTGGGTGACAGGGTGCTTCATCAGGTCCATTAGCCTAGCAGCTAGGTGTTTGCTTTTTCATCAAATGTTTCCCCAGGTGTTATAAGTGGTCACAGAAGAAAGGTGATACATTATATGCAAGTATTATATGTTTGAATATGATTTTTTTGGTTTAGGCAGGATCTTACAATCTTATAATTCATGATTCTAATCCTATGGGTAGGATCTCATTCTTGACAACGTTGACGTCAAATAACAAAAAGGCAACATCCCTCATCAGCATAAGCCAAGTGTTTCCTAAAACAAAAGATTGCAATAGGGACTCCCTGTTCAGACAGATCACAATCCCTCACTATAACCCTTTATTTTCTATTGTTTGGGTTGCTGTTATCAAACAACTTTCACATATGTTACAAAACTAATGCAGGACCCAAGAGGAGAACAAATAAAATGTGAGCTATAAGAGAAAGGAAACCCTGTCTTCCAGTTTATTTTTCTTTTCAAATTCCATAGATACACTGGCATTTTTCCCCGAGATACTGTTACTAACCCGGGAAAGAAAATCTATTTAATCAACAAAAAATAGGTGGAAGATTTCTGCTCCAAGGGTTTCCCCTTTCATACAAGCTTTCTAGTTCTCTGAATGAATCCTTCCAACCTTAGTGCTCATTTATCTAATTGAACCCCTATAACCAACTAACTGCTCTAACTGCCCCTAACTACTTTTCATTTCCCTTCAGTCCAAACAGATACTAGTGAGAGGTTGTAAATAGACATAGATTTTAGGTTTTCTTAAATCATCTAAGGTGTTTTGTTGGATTATGAATCTTGACATTATAGGGATGATCTAAATTCTTAAAAAATTTAAAAGAATCCTTATAAAATAAGTAGCTTAATGGTATCATGATCAGCCATGTCATGGCTTAAAGCCTGCAGGTAAGAAATACAAGCTATTATTTTGTTTAAATTTCCAAAGAATCTTCATAGAATAAGTAGCATAATGGTTTGGTAAACATATCATGACAGCCAGGTCATGGCTTAAGGCCTAAAGGTAAAAATGAAATACAAGCATTTATTTTGTTTAAATAATTGCCTATTCTTAAAAAGGACATTTACTTATCTTTTACAGATATACTCTTCCAGGAGAAATTAGAATTTGGCTCCTCTAAATGAATCTTCACTTTAGAGATAAAAATTAGAAAACTCAACCATTCATGAGAAAATCAATGCAGGGTTTATATTACATTTCATTCATAGTAATTCATGGATTTGTGAAATCTACTCCCTTGATTTTCTCATTCAGATGCCTCATTTTTTCATGTGAAGTAAATTACCCACTTTAAAGTAGCCAAATCCAAGCAATTATATGGTAGAAAAGTAAGAACACTTGATAATCCAGTTAGCCAAGTCATCTGGTTAGATTATTTTTCTCTTTTTGGCACAAAACATCTAGCTACATTCTAACATTGAGCAAAATAACATTCAAATTTCAAACCAATGCATATTGTGTCACAAACTCATACTTTGAAGGTAGAATGCCTACCATATTTTCAGAAAATAGGAAAGAAATATAGAAAAAAGAAAGACGCCACGCATCCCATACTTTAAAAAGGCACAGCAAACTCTTAAGACTGGCATTTGCAGTTAAAGAACATACCAGTCCTCGAGAAAGTAAAGCAGAGATCAGGAAAAGTAATGCCCCCATACGACTTTGGAATAAGGGAATCACTGCTTCAAGTCTTTTCAATGCACTTGGTTGCGATGTGTATGTTTCAACTCTAAGAACCTTTTGCAGATCCAAGGCTGATTCAATGGCAAGACCTTCAAGTGCTTTTGTAATAACCTATTCATTGGACAAGACTTGATTCAGGTAAATAAGAAAATCAATACAGAACCAGAGACTTTAATAACAAGATAAAAATTTCAATTCCATCTACTGCCAACAAGATGTCACAGAAATCACTAGTATCACTATCAATAAAACACTTACCTCATCCTTTGAAACTTCTTCAGAATGCTGAATGTCATCCACAAGAATGTTCAAGGTTGCAATCACAGCCCTTTCATTATTTCCACACATAAATAATATTTCACCCATGCTTTTTACAAGGGCACTGCCAAAAAATTATAAAAATATTAATAAACATAAGTCATAACAAAAGCATATGTGCAACTGGGAAAGAATATCCCTGCCAATATTAAAGTGCTACAAAGCATGAAGAACATTTGATATGCAAGACCAAAGTCAATCATCATAGTTAACAGATGAAAATGAACTAGACATATTAAGATGTCCCTGGCTAGGAATAGAGTCAAAATACTCTATATAAAGGTTAGGATAGTCCTTATCCTATGAGCTAATGTTTGGAAGAGAGTTAGGCCCAAGTTTCTTAACATGATATCAGAACCTATCTAGTTTCTTAATGTGACTGCTGTTAAATATTTTTATTTTTTTTTACCTATCACTTCTCACCTGCTTCTGAAGATAAACAGTGTTTCGTTCTTTTACGGTTTTACCTACTCTGTTTTCTGAACAAACAACAGAGCAATATTACAGTCCATTTAGTTCTTCTTATCTGTCTCTTATCTCCAACAACTATTGTTGCCTCCAGCAAGTCTCCTGTAAGTATTTCTGATTCTTGCTCTTCTCTCTTCCCTCAGATCAGCACATCTATTTTTTAATACAAAAACAGAGTATAACAGTGCCATCTATTTCACACCCCTATGCAATGCTCTTCCTCTAACAATCAGCTGTAGCAACCAATACTGACCCCAACAAGTCCCCAGCGTGCACTGTTGTCTTCGGCGAGTCTCCAGCGAGTACAGTAGACAACAACCACTGCTGCAGTTTTCTCCTTTTTTATTTTTCGTAGTATGGCAAGTGAAGAATCTTCAAATCCTTCAAGAGTTGGTGCTAAGATTGACCCCGGATGGAAATATTGTCATCCAGCCCAAGGAAATGACACCAATAGTTGTGTTTGCAATTTTTGTGGTAAGGTCAAAAAAGAAGGAATTATCAGAGTCAAAGAACACTTGATGGGAAAAAAAGGTAATGTTGCAGCTTGCACCAAATGTCCAAAGGAGGTCAGAGAAGAATTATGGGGATATTTGAAAGATAAGAAGAAGCAAGATAGTGAAGCATTTCAAAGGATGTGCAATGATCTTGATGAATTTGGTGATAGTGATGAAAAACGTGCTCTTGATGAAGGGTTTAGAGAAATAGTGTCTAATAATACTATTGGAAAGAAGAGTGCTTCTAAGGGCCCTATTGATCTTTATTTCAAAAGGCCTAAAACTGCAATTGAGAAAAAGAAGGATAAATTAAGGCAAGCAAGCATAAAGGAAGCATGTGACAAGGAGACTACTACAAGAGTTCATCAATACATTGCTCGATTTTGGTATCAAGCTGGCTTATCCTTCAACATGATTAAGTTGCAAAGTTTTCATGACATGCTTACAGCTATTGGAAGCTTTGGGCCAAATTTAAAGCCTCTTTCTTACCATGATATAAGAGTTCCACTCCTCAATAAAGAGTTGGCATACACTGAAGATTTGTTGAAAGGTCAAAAGGAGCAATGGAAAAAATTTGGGTGCTCTATCATGTCTGATGCATGGACAGATAGAAAACAGAGATCTTTAATAAACTTCTTAGTGAATTGTCCTTCAGGCACTATGTTCATTAAATCTATTGATGCGTGAGACATTGTGAAGACTGGTCAGAAAATATGACTTACTTGACTCTATTATTGAAGAAATTGGAGAAGAAAAGATTGTCCAAGTAATAACAGACAATGGAAGCAATTATGTTCTTGCTGGTAAGTTACTAGAAGAAAAAAGACCTCATTTATACTGGACTCCTTGTGCAGCCCATTGTATAGATTTGATGTTAGAAGACATTGGAAAGTTACCTATGATAAAGAAGACAATTCAAAAGGCGATATTTCTGGTTGGCTTCATCTATAGTCATATAAGTACCTTAAGCTTGTTGAGGTACTTTACCAATAAAAAAGAATTGGTGAGACATACAATTACTAGATTCGTTACATCTTTCCTCACATTAGAAAGGATTCATAAGGAGAAAGCAAATCTTAGAAAAATGTTTGTATCGGATGATTGGACAAATAACAAATTTTCCAAGGAGGCCAAAGGAAGAGAAGTAACAAAAATTGTACTCATGCCTACTTTTTGGAATAATGTTGTGTACACACTTAAGGTCATGGCTCCTCTTGTGCATGTGCTTCGCCTTGTTGATAGTGAGAAAAAACCAGCCATGGGTTATATTTATGAGACATTAGAAATGGCTAAAGAAACTATTATAAGATCTTTTGAGAATAATGAAAGCAAATATAAGGAGGTTTTTGAAATTATTGATAAGAGGTAGAGTTGCCAACTTTATCGCCCATTACATGCGGCTAGTTACTTCCTAAATCTAGAATTCTTCTACCACAATCCCTCAATTGAATTTGATTTTGAGGTGACAAATGGGTTGTATGCATGCATTGAAAGGTTTGGGCCTACTTTGGAAGTGAAACAAAAGATTTTTGAGGAGCTACTGGTTTACAAAGCTGCTGGTGGTATGTTTGAAAATAAACTTACAATTTCACAAAGAAACACAATTGCACCAGGTGAGAAACTTTATAAAGTTTTCTCTATTCTTCTAAATTGTAACCTTTATTACGTGCATTATTGCAAAATATTTATTTGGATTTGTAGCACAATGGTGGCGAATGTACGGACTATCAATTCCAAATTTACAGCAATTGGCTATAAAGATCTTGAGCTTGACATGTAGTGCATCAGGATGTGAACGCAGATGGAGTATGTTTGAGCAAGTAATTTACTAATTAACAATTTTCTTAGTAGATAATAGTTTCTATACTTAGTCACTTGGAGAATTTTGTTAATTTTTATTGAACTTATTGTTGCAGATACATTCTATGAAAAGGAATAGGCTTGAGCATAAAAGACTACATGACTTAGTGTATGTCAAATATAATCAAGCATTGCTTAGAAGATACAATTTTAGGGATGAGATTGACCCAATCTCACTCAATGATATAGATGAGTGTAATGAATGATTAGTTGGGAAGATGGATGGTGGTGAAGCTGATGCTAGGAATGAGAGGGTCTTTGAGGATGACAATGATAATGCCCTTATTTGAAAAGATGTTTATAGAGCTTCAGGAGTTGTTGGGGCTGCATCTAAGACAAAGAAAGGTTTGGCAAATGCATCTTCATCCAAAAATGGAAAAGAGTTTATTGTTGAAGTTGAAGATACTGCAGTCTTGGAAGAATCAGAAAAAGAATTAGAAGACAATCAAGATATTGATTTTGAAGATTTAGAAGAAGTTGAAGGATATGTCTCACTATCTGACAATGAGAATGATGATTATATAAGGGCAAAAAGGGATGAGAATGACTGAATGAATGAATTTGTTTTATCTTTGTTTAGTGTTTTCAGTATTTATTTTGAAGTTTGAACAATTGAACTTTTGACTTGAATCAATCCTATGTCACCTTTTTTGTTTACCATCTTTTAAATTTTATGTAGCTTATTTATTCATATATTGCATTACTACTTAATTTTTTATATTTCAACCGCTATGTAACTTCCACTATTTGTCCGCAACGCTATCCACTATATGTCATTGCAGTTTTTTGTTTTTTCGTAATTTTCTGCAATCCGCTATTGATAACACTGGTGGTCATCCCGCTATCCAGTATTGCGTTTTTGGGCCAGCCACTCCACGCTGCTATTTGGGATTGACTTCTATGTTCACGTAGACAGAAAGGGCATCTAGTTTAATCCATAGCAAACAAAAGGGCAATCAATATTCAAGTTCATGATTCACAGGAAAGAAGTTATAATGTTGAAGTGGGGAGAAAATGACATGATTAAGCACAAGAACTGGAACTCTAAGAACATAGTTACCCATCTAAACAGATGACTGATCAGGAAAAAGTTAATCACCTTACTTTTACACCTTCAGTGAGTGAAGAAAAATTATTTGATGGAAAAGATTGACTATTGAACAATGTGCTCGGTCCCTGGTTTAGTGGCAGGCTTAATACATCTTTCACCTCATCTCGAAAGAAAAGAATGTATTTGAGCACAAATGCCTGCAAAATTAAAGTAACAGCAACATAAACCCAAAATATGTTTGTAGAACTAATACTGAGTATCAGTAGAAGAAATAAATGAACAGAAAGGAAAACAAGAACAAATGTTTACATCTTAATACATGCTCATACACAAACAAGCATTCTACAAAATAATATTATTTCATTCATTGAAATAAAATCATATCCATCATTACTAGAGCCAAAAAGTTCAAAACAATGAATGAGTTAAGCGTCATAATTGAAGCCATCTGACTTCAGCTACAATATATACAAGGAAAAACCTGAAAAGAAGACATAAAATGCCAACAGAAAATATTTTATACTCTACGTCACAAATTTTAAATTATCAAGTTATCAACAGATCCCGACCCCCAACTGTTGACAGGAGGAAAGGAGGTTGAATGGGATTAAAGACATGTTTACAGACACAAACTGCAACATATATTTGCAATAAATAAACTGCCTGTGACCCTACAAATATAATGGTGGGAGCATTGCAAACTCTGCTTCAGAGACAACAGACCACTTATTTTTGTACAGCATTTTATTTTTAAATATCTTTTCAGGATTATCCAAGAGCACCAGGTCTATCTCCCTATTACAGTGAAATTCAGCTCTACCAATGTAAAGATCTTAGTAAAAACATGAAGATTAAGATTTTGAGGCAGTATGCACTATGCATTTTAGGCAGTTCTTGGTAGCATATGGTTAGAGGGAAAGGCCTACTGAAATGCACCAATTCTCACTTTCTTTCATCTTGCAGCCCCACCCTTATTTCTTCTCTACACTGACACAAGCCCCTCCCCTACTCAATTCATATCAATTCCATCAATGCAAACCGCTCTCTTCACACTTCCAACTCTCTCAATCCAGTTATTCTTACTTTCTCTCATTCTCCCATATGAGCATCCATTTTCTTGCTTTTATTTATCCTTTTCAGATTTTGCAAAGATCCTTGTGACCCATTTATTTTTCTCTTTGATATAGATAGTTTTGTGTGAAATTTTGAAGAGAGGGATAGCACTCTAAGGAGAATGAAGTGTCACCCATTGATAGAAGATGAGAACGTCAACTTCATCAACTACTACATACTGCAGGTCATTTCTTAAACCCCAAATTTTACTATTCCAATCTAAGTATTGAGTTTGATCCTAAAGTGACATATGGACTATACAAGTGCATTAAGAGATTGAATAGCTCTGAAGAAAAGGCGGATGGAATCTTTGGTTTGAATGCAGTTATAAGAAAAAGGCATACTTTGGCTCCTGGTTAGTTTAAATCAAAAGGTTGATTTCCTTTTAATGTTATTTGTTGTTTTTTAAATTAAATAATGTCAATTATTTTAATTGCATTACAGCTGAATGATGGAGGAATTATGGAAATCAAATTCCAAACTTGCAAAAGTTGGCCATTAAGGTGTTGAGCTTGACTTGTAGCCCATCGGTTTGTGAGAGAAATTGGAGTATTTTTTAACATATAAGTAACTAAATTCTAATTAATAGTTTTTTAAAAAATTTATATTAATTAGATTCACTCTAAGAAGAGAAACAAATTAGAGAGCCAAAAGTTGCAAGATTTTGTTTATATCAAGTATAACTATAAATAAAATTTGCTAGATCATTATAACAGTCATGATGTGATTAATCCAATTGTTGTGAATGATATTGACGATTGCAATGAGTGGTTGATTGAAGAAATGAGAAAAGAAGAAAATACGAAACCTGCTAAAAATGAGTTGGTCTTTGATGATAATAATTTAACTTGGGGAGTTGTTACTGAAGCTAATAGGGTTGATGAGCCTACTACTTAAACTAGACAATAAATAATATTGAAGAAGAAAGTTGCTACTACCTCTAGCTCTAGGAAAGGGAAGGATATTATGCAAGATGAAAAGCAAGAAATGAAAGTAGATGAAGAAATTGATGAAAAAGAAGAAGAACTCATCTACAAAAGTAGTAGTGCAACGAGTGACAATGAAAGGGAGGATTTTCTATCAAAGACAGAATCTAATTAGATAAGATTAGGGTTAAGGACGAATCACTTTTAAACTTTATCATATGAAAACATTTTTTGTTTAACAATACGCATGTTGTAGTGTTTTGCACTTTTACTTGAAATGATGCTCATGTGATTAATTTTAAAAATTTATGGTGCATTTATACAAAAATTGTGTACATAATATATTATATATGCATATTACAAATTTTTAAATAGTAGTCATCCTGCTATACGCTATTCCACTATAGCATTTTAGGGGTCAGCCACTATTTGCCGCCTTCCAAGATTAACTACTATGCTTAAAATTATGTGCTATGAGTAATTTTATAATTGTAAACTACTCGTGCATCATTTATTTTCATTTCTTATTCATTATAGTCATGTCTTCATTATAGACCTTTTGATTAACTAGATTTCTAAAAATTTGGTTATTAACCGAGCTCAATGTTGTTATGTAATCCATGTAGCTGACCGAACCTAATGAGATAAGGCTCGGTTATTGTTGTTGTTGTATAGTTATGTCTTCATTGAGTGTTATATGACTCACCCCCTATTATTTACTTACTATTTTCATATCATTAGATAGTAAAGTTGCATGCTAATTGGAACATCAACTCATTTCAGTAAAATATCCATCGGTAACCTCTCATTGTTTGGTGGCTTTATTTCTTTTGCTTTGGCTATATTTTGGATTTTTTGCAACTTCTAAGGAGGTAGGCATTAACTTGGTTATGTAATAGATGTTTTATTATTGATATTATAAAAATCTATAATTCTATCAGTCGTAGTTGAATTATAGATTGATTTTGACAGTTTATCATATTTTGAGATGATGAAAATTCAAAAGAAACTCTACCGAAATTTTGACAAATTTTTCATATTATTATTGGAAAAGTTTATTGTTTCATATGTTTGCTTCTTAAAAGGCTTCTTAGGTTTAAAAATGTTTTTAGATAACTTAATGTGTGCATCAATCACAGACCCAATTCCTAGACATGACACCTACATCTTTCTTTGCTATGAATTTGATCTGGGATAGTCACTTTTCAAAGTAGTGTTCTACTCATGGTGCTATAAGGATTTTTCTATCTCATATTTTTTCAGAGATCATGCATACTTAGTCATCTACCCTGCTTTTCTTGTGTTTTCTATTGAATGTAATATATTCGATCACTATAACATTCTAGGGTTCCAAAACACCCCAAAAATAAATAGACTCAAAAATTAAGCAATAGCAATGTTGTATCATTCTCAAACTTCATTGATGTTTAGAATGACAAATGTTGCATACTTGATAGATACTTGTTGATGCCAATGCCATCATAAAAATATCATAAAAAATGTTAGCAATACATTCTATAACATAATCTTTATTATTAGGTGAAATTCACAAAGGACTCGCTAAATAGAGTGAGACCCAAATCTACAACCAAAGCCAAACTAGTTTTAAAATCCAGATTTTTAATAAAACCAGATACGTAGGCCCACTTTATTTTTTGTCCATATTCGTTTTGAAATCCATTTAGATACTGGTCTCTTCTCTTCTTTGTCAGTTCAGGTGCAGTTGGACAGTAGGAAACCCATCATACTCATACCATTGTTCTGTTAACTGCTCCTGCTCCCTCTGCACTGCACCTTCAGTTCATTGCTAATAAACCCAGCAAGTCTAGGATCTACCATACTTAATATTTCAGAAAACTATTTTATTTTATTTTTAAAAAAACTTATTTGCTATCATTTTGATTATTTTAAATATATTAAAACAAGTTAAGCTCACCAAGTGGATTGATATGCACCCGTAATCCTAATATTGCATTTTGATATTGGTATGGCAGTAAGGGGAATCTGGAGTCTTTATAACACATGCAGCTCAATCTGGTGTGTTGTGGACCACATGATAAAATGCCACACTGGGTACATATTCATTTCTCTAAATTCTCTATACTATTATAGAACATGCATGTTTTATTCAATTTGTTCATATTCTGTAAATTAAATTCTGCTGAACTTGAGATTGCAAAATAGGATGCTATAAACATACTGCAGTATCAGAAGTAATGGAGTGATAAATTCTTTTGTAGGAGAGAAAACCGGTATTCTTTATGCTTATGTACAATTTGTATTTCTTTCTCCTTTCTCTAAGATGCAGGTTTTGCCTTAAAAAACCACATTGAAAACTAGAATTCAATTTGGTTTTGCCCTAAAAACTGGATTTAAAACTAGTTTTATTGGATTTAAAACTGGTTACAATCAAAACCATATTTAAAACAGTTTGAAGCAAAACTGGATTAAAAACTGGTTTTAAACCAAATCCAAATTTTTTAAACTAGTTTTGAAAAAAATAAAATGGATTGGTTTAAAATTCAGTCCATATAATTGGATTTAAAGTGGATTTGGATTGGTTTTATGTCAATTCAATCCATGGACAGCCCTATCCAAATCAATGGGTCCAACACAAATTTCACCTAATTGTAAAGAGGGTGTTAAAGAGAGTAAGTTGCCAACATTCTTCATGTTATATATTCTTACTACAAGAAATAAAAGACTGGTCTTTAATGAGGCTGACTACTGCACACAAACTAAAGCACTACTTCTTTAAACTTCTGAAACTATATTAGATACAACAACAACAATCAAGCTTTTTTTCATTGAATAGGGCTAGTTACATAGATCAAACCAGTGTTGTCAAATGGCCGTTATGGCGGCGCCATGGCGGTATGGCGTGGCGGAAATGACGGACGCCGTTACGAAGATGGCGTGGCGTGGCGGCGCCATGGCAGCCGTTACGAGCATGGCGGTAACGGCCGGCCATGGCAGAAATCGTGATAAATGGCGTTTTTTAAAAAAAAAATTGGATTTTCTGCACTTTTGGGCCAGATCCGACCCGACCCAGCTCAGAATCCAACTGCCTAAATCCAGGTTTTTTCTCTCTCTTCTCCTTACGATCTCACTCTCCCTCTCTTTGCAATCGCACTCTCTGCGATCTCACTCTCCACTCTGCTCATCTCTTTGAGCTCCCTCCATCTCTCTCTCTCTCTCTCTACGACCACTTCTCTCTCTCTCTCTCTGCGACCACTTCTCTCTCTCTCTCTGCGACTGCTTTCTCTGAGATCTCGTTGCTGAGATCTCATTTTCTTGGGCTCTTTGTGTTTCTGTTTTGGTGCATTTCGGTCTATATTTTCGGCGACTGCAGCTGCATCTCCGGCGACTGCACCATCTCCGGTGACTCCAACCTCCATTTCCGGCGACTGCACTTCCATCTCCGGCGACTCCATTTTTCTGGTAGCTATTTTTTTTCATTTTTCCTCTCAGTTTTTTCTTTATTTCCCCCATTTAAATTTTACCCTTTCCATCTTTCAATTTTTACCTCTCCCACATTTCTGTTTTTTCTCTGTTTTTTCTCTGATTTTCCTCAAAAAAAAATTCTATTTATTTCAGCTACTCTTAACATGGCTCAACATGAGTCTTCATCAAATTGTTCAAGAACTTCTAATCGTTCTGACCCGGGATGGAAATATGCTCATTCGGTGAAAGATGGAGATACAAACAACATTGTATGTAATTTTTGTGGAAAAGTTGAGTGCGGGAATCACTAGAGTGAAACAACATTTAATTGGAAAGAAGGGTAACGTGAAAGCTTGTCCCAAGTGTCCGAAAGAAGTTAGAAAAGAGATTGAGACATATCAAAAGGAAAAAAAGAATCAAAATAATTTTGAGATGCCAAATGTGAGAAGCTTTGAAGGTATAAGCTATGATGTAAGTGAGGATGAAGAGGATACCCAAACCCGTAGCGTTGCTATTGGAAATCAGAAAGGGCCAATGGACTTGTTCTGTAGAAAGCCTGAAAGTGCAATTGAGAAAAGAAAAAAGGAAAAATTGAGACAAACAAATATAAGAGAACGATGTGACAAAGAAGCCAAGGCAAGGGTCCATCAATACATAGCTCGATTTTGGTATCAAGCTGGCCTTTCCTTTAACCTCATTAAAATGAAGAGCTTTCAAGAAATGCTTACAGCTGTTGGTGCTTTCAGTCCAAATTTACCAGCTCCAAGTTATCATGATATTCGAGTTCCACTTCTAAAGAAAGAGCTAGAATATACCGATTCCCTCATGAAAGATCATAAAGAGCAATGGAGCAAACATGACTGTTCCATAATGTCAGATGCATGGACCGATCGAAAGCAAAGATGCTTGATTAATTTTTTGGTCAACTCTCCTGCTGGTACTATGTTTGTGAGGTCTATTGATGGATCTAATTTTGTGAAGACCGGTGAAAAATTATTTGAGATGCTTGATGCTCTTGTGGAAGAGATTGGAGAAGATAAAGTTGTGCAAGTGATAACGGATAATGGAAGCAATTATGTCTTGGCTGGTAAGATGTTAGAAGCGAAAAGACCACATCTTTATTGGACTCCTTGTGCAGCTCATTGCATAGATCTTATGCTTGAAGATATTGGAAAGCTTCCTTTGATAAAGAAGACAATTCAAAGGGGAATATCGGTTGTTGGCTTTATCTACAGTCATTCAAGTACCTTGAGTTTGTTGAGAAATTTTACAAACAAGAGGGAATTGGTAAGACATGCAGTTACTCGATTTGCAACTTCTTTTCTATCATTAGAAAGACTTCACCAAGAAAAAGCAAATCTTAGAAAGATGTTTACTTCTGAGGAATGGTGTAAAAACAAGTTATCAAAGGAAGCTAAAGGGAAGCAAGCAACAAAAATTCTATTAAATCCTGTATTTTGGAATAATGTGGTGTATACTTTGAAAATCATGGCTCCTCTTGTCCGGGTGTTACGTTTGTTTGATGGAGAAAGAAGACCAGCTATGGGGTATATTTATGAAGCAATGGAGAAAAGTAAAGAAGCTATCATGAAGTCATTCAAAAATAATGAAAGTAAATACAAAGATGTGTTTGCAATCATTGATAACAGATGGACTTGTCAGCTTCACCGTCCATTACATGCAGCTGGTCACATTTTAAACCCAGAATTTTACTATGACAACCCTCAAATTGAATTTGATTTGGAAGTTACAAATGGGTTGTATGATTGTATCAAGAGGTTGGTGCCAAGTCGGGATGTGCAACAAAGTATACTACTTGAATTACCAATTTACAAGAGTGGTGGTGGTCTCTTTGGATCCGACTTTGCAAAATCACAAAGAAAAAGCATTGCTCCCGGTAATTCATCAAATTCTTCAATATTTTAATTTTAAGGTTATACTTCATCTTCAGAGTTATAATTTGTCTTTCATTTTATAACTCAATGGTGGAGAATGTATGGACATTCAACTCCACATTTGCAGCAACTAGCTATCAAAATTTTGAGCTTGACATGTAGTGCATCCGGATGTGAACGCAACTGGAGTGTTTTTGAGCAAGTAATTTTTTATCTCTCGAGCCTACTATTTTCTTTTATAAATTAGAGAGAAACTGATTAATATTCTTATAATTAAACTCACGTTGCAGATTCATTCAAAGAAGAGAAATAGGCTTGATCACAAAAAATTACATGACTTGGTTTATGTGAAATACAACCAACAACTCAAAGAACGTTACAATCTTAAAGATGTAATTGATCCAATTACACTCAATGATATTGATGAGTGTAATGAGTGGTTGGTTGGAGAAATAGATGATGATGCTCTAGATGAGGATGCTGGAAATGACTTAGTTTTTTATGGTGATAACACTTTAAATTGGGCAACTGTTTATGAAGCTTCTGGAATTGGAGAGCCTACAACATATACTAGGCGTCATTCTAAGAAAAGAAAGAATCCATCAAGTGGTATCACTATCAAAGCTGCAAAAGTTTCCAAGATTAAGGCATGTTCAACAACAAAAGGAAAAGAGAAAATGGTTCTTGAAGATGATGATGAAGAATTAGAAGATGAAGAAATGTCGGAAGAAACAGAAGATGAATTAGAATTTAATCTTCCACAATCTGAAGGAGAAGAAGAGGAGGGATATGCTTTGGTGGATGAGAAAGAGGATGATTATGTTGGAGTTGAAGAAGAAGACTAAATTGATAATCTTTATTTTTATTGTTAACTTGACATTTGATAATTACATATTTTGTATTTAATTATACTTTAGATTGAAGGTTATGTTACATATATTTTTAGTTAATTATTTTCTATTATTTTCTGTGACCTATAGTATTTTTTTATATATTTTATTACATTCGCCATAAATCTGCCAAAACCTGCCATGGCGGCTGCCATAACTTTATGGCAGTTTTTTGAGTTTCCGCCATGAACCGCCATCCGCCATTAATAACATCGGATCAAACGGCACCATAATGTCATAAATCATGTCTACAAACAAACTATTCAATTCTACCCTTCTTAATTGTTTCACCAGTAGTTTTTCTCAGTCTCCCTCTGCTCTGATGACTATGCTACCCTTCAGTAATTTACTCTCGTATTGGGGCTTCTACAGGTCTTTCTCCACACATGCTCAAACCAACTAAGGCAAGATTCTAAAACTGGATTTCAAAATAAAATTTTAAATTCGTAACACTAGAAATTAAATAAAAGATTCAGCTTTCAATAAATAAAACATTGGATGTCAAAATATAAATATAATTCAAGATTGACAAACAGCTTCTACAAGTTAAAAAAGCACAGCTTTAAAATGGGACCATTACTTGTATAGCCGCCAAAACGCCACATGGTCCACCCTCATGCTGCACTAGGCCCAAGGATGTTTCTGGATCAGAGCTAAACCTATAGGAAAATTTTCATAACATTAGCAACTAAAAAGAACTAAATAAACGTATTAGAATTTAGAACAATCAAATAATTCAAAACCCTTACACAAAGGATAACAAGTGCAAAAGCATAACTTTCAGATGTGTACAAATGATTTCAAGAGTATTAATTAGTTCTATTATATAAACATTACTGCACGGGAAGCGCATGTCTGACCTTTTCCAGACCCCATAATGGTGGGAGTCCTGTGCCTTAGGCTGCTCCTTTTATTTTATAATAATACACTATCCTTCAAAAGATGCACACAACATTGGTTGCAAAGAAAGAAAGTTGGATAGCGAGTCTTGGATAAGATACAAGTTTACGCTAACCAATATTATCAGCTGCCTGCCATGACAGGGCTAGCACCTCAAATTGCCAGAGACACCTCAAAATGGAATAAGTGGCTTTGACCTCAAGAAAATTTTCCAAGAAATGACTCTAAATGCTCATTTAATCACTCTTTACCACCAAATGGGTATAAAAAAGGAAGACAAATAAACCCAGTGGTGTGTCTGTGGGGCGTGAGGACAGACAGCTGTCCATGAGTTTCAAAAGGTTGAATGTCTGATTCTTCTAGACAAAAGACAATAGCAATAGAAAACTCAACATCAACCGTTCATTACAACTACATGCACCAAGAGATTCAATCTCAACATATCAAAATGTCAAAACATCAAGCTTTCCTCACCCAAGTGTTATGACTTAAGCACATGAAAGGAGCCCAACCCAAAAGACTAGTCCAATAGGTGGGAAATTTCAAGGCTAGTACCATATTGAGCATCTTACTCTACTCAATGTGGGACTCATAACACCAAGCTCCTTAGAAACATAGCTCACTCAATGTAGATTCAAATTATGTGTATGATCAAGTCATTCAATTATTCAAACTCATCTCCTATTAGTTCTAACCAAAGATACCAAAGGAGCAAGCAACTTGAAATAAGTTTGACTACTTCATGTAAGGACATAATCATGACAAGATTTAAATTTTAAAATCACTGACTAACAGCCTGCTTAGAATCAATTGGACTCGGATTCCCTACAGTAATGGCAGCCTGCAGTTAGGCCATTTTTGCATTTTCACTTATGCGATAAATTTTAGCTTAAGCAAAAATGTAAAAAATGGCCTAAGGCAGCAGTTGGCACCAAAAAATAAGGGAATCCAGGTTCGAATCAATTCCTTCCAATGTTCACCCATTCCTTTGTAAAATCTATAGCTAAATTAATTTGAACACACAACTCAACAATTCAAAATCAATTCTATCCACTAGAAAACAAAAGAACACTAAATTGCTAGGTAAACCGCGTAACTTCCACATTGGATTTTTTTCACAGTTCATCGTTTACACCCACTTTGCAGCCTTTTATCCTTCTTTTTGTATCACATCACCGATCACTCGTATCTCTTTCTCTCTCTCTACTTTCCATCTCTCTTGGCCCAAAGGGTGTAAACTTCATTAGCATATGAAACTGAAAACATCATTTTTTGTGACAAAATAGCGACAGCTAAAACTACTAATAATCAAAAAATAACCAGAGAAACAAATAACAACAAAATGGAAAATACCTTATTCCCTGATTGCTCCACTGTGCTAGAATCCCCTTTGAGACCTCACTGCCAAACACCACCCCAAACAACTCATTCACTTCTTGCAGAGAAAGCTCCTTACTCATCCAGCTCCCACCATCGAAACGCTCCTCCTCCTTCATCTCTCTCCTCCCAACCTCTCCGCCACCTTTACCCGCCGACACTGCCGCCATCCGCTTCTCAGCAGCAGCAGCCATGAGCTCCCGCTGCAACCGCCGGGACTTCGCCTCCGGCGACTCCTCCGCTGACCCCGAAACGACACCGCCGGTAACGGAGTCCCTCGGTTTGCTCCGCTTCGGCTCCGGCATCGAGTGCTGCATGCTCATCCGAATCGCCATTTGCAAATCCTCGTCTTCACGATCCGCCATTGCAACACCAACGAAACTTCAAAATCCCCAAACGAACGAGAAACCCTAACTATCGAAACCGAAGGGCTTCGTTTTCCGTCGTAAGTGGAAAATCGGGGTTGCGCTTCGGTGGTGTGAATCAGAATTTATAGCCCCGGAGAGGGGCAATTATGGAAAACGATTTATGCGGGAGCTTAATGGAAAGTGGCGGTGCTCGGCTGCGCCGGTCGCCGGTGGCGGGTAGAGAGTGAGCGAAACGGTGTCGTGTAAGTGAGAATCCGCGGTTGATCCTTTTGTAGAAGGAAATCGTGGTGAATTGACTATGTGAACCCTGAGTTGAAACTTGAAAGGCGCGGTGTAGTGAGGTAAAGCGAGTGAATTAAGGAAGATGATGAGGGTGTTTTCGGGAATTCAGTGTTGTGTGTTTTGATTGTGCAGATTTTATGTCTGCCGCTACCGGAGATGATGTTTTTCCATCAATACAGAGTATCGTTTCTCTTTTCTGATTATGGAAATTTAAAATATGTTTTCAATTTCTCGTCAAAAATAATAGTTTTATCGCAGGTTTACTTTCCCTTGTGTTAGCGATATTTTAGTTGAAATTTTTCTCTTTCATGTATTTAATTTATTAACATGAGAATCAAAATAATTGTAAATCAAAATATTTAAAACATAGAATATGTTTAATTTTTTTTTTTTAAATAATTTTTAGTTTTTAAAAATAAAATATAATATAAAGACTAATCCTTCATTTTGATTTTTGACAGAAGTTTGCTTTCATTATTTTAGTCTTTAAAAGATTAAAAATATTACGTTAGTTTTTTATTTTTATTTTTGTTATTCATTTTAGTTTTTTTATTTTTATTTTTGTTATTCATTTTAGTTCTTAAACACAGACACTCAAATAGAAATAAAAAGTTGAGTTTAATTAACATTTATTTTGAAGGATTTCTTCTTTCTTCTATTATTGGTATTTTTTTTTTTCATTGTTAGGGTTCTTTCTTTTCTTCTACTAAGTCAACACACCAACTAGAACAAAAGTAGTGGTTCAATCTTTGTTGCAAGACAACATAAGATATCTACTATTCTTATAAACTTATGATAAAAATACAAAGTAACACAATGAAAACAAAAATAGAAAGAAATAAAATACTAACCCTTTGGAGGTAAAAGAGATAGACGTACATAATGTAACTCAACATGCATTGCTTTGACAGTAAATTGATGAGAAAAACAAGAAAGCCAACCTTTTAAAACTCTAGGCTCTCACATGTCACCTAAAGCCATTAACCAAACGATCGTGGTTACCCATGTATCATCTATAACTGCATTCTAAATCTTGACAACCCAGATCCTCAACCTAACCTAGATTCTAACCTATCCATGCTCACCTTCTAAACCTTACTCTCCCACATATTCGAATTTATATACCTAAAATCTTGTAACTTTGGCTTGCACATTTATCCTCACCCATTACCTTCTTCATACCCACCAAACCTTGGATTCTACCAAAGAAAACCTCTTTTCTTCAAAGGGTATCTCCAAGATCTGAGCTTGGTCAAAACAGTGTTGGATCAAACGAATAACACTCAAGAAACCACCATTTGCCAATGTCAAATCATAAATAGAATTGGAGAATTAAAACAAAAAGGGTCCTTTGGCGAGGGATGCAAAATGATATGTTGGACAATTAGGGCACTTTCAAATTTCTTAGAATGATATCCTGCCAATTAGGACCGATTTGCCGCGTACACTTCTTCAACCTTGCAAAAGGATATAGGTTGTGTCAATTGAACTTTTGACATGACGCTTAACGTGACATATCAACTTTATGTTACTATTAACAGAGTCTTCGTTTAAGGATTAAAATGAACGACAAATATGAAAGTTAACTAATGTGACATTTTTAATTTTTTAGGAAATAAAATGTCAGACACAAATTCTCTCTGGTACCAAAATGAGAGTTTAGCCGTAATACAAATTTGTATTACATTTTATTTTTAAAAATTAAAAATTAATTTTTAAAAAAATGTTTGATTTTATTTTTAAAATAATTTTTAGTTTTTAAAAATAAAATGTTGTACAAAAACTACTTTTAAAAATGAAATACTCTTATTTTTATTTATTTTTTGCTAAATTTAACAACTTACTTTGTAAGTTATAATTTTATATTTATTAATGAATAAATATTATTTGATTCAATTAAGGTAAGTATTAATTATTTTTTAAATAAAATATATTTATTAAAATATTATTTTTTATAATTTTTATAAAAAATATAATTTTATGAGCAAATTATATTCCTCTCATTTAAAATATACTTAAATTAGAATACTTTTTGTCTTTTTAATTTCATCTCTCCACCAAAAAAGTTAGAGTACTTTTCTATTCTTTCATTTTAAATTTAAATTTTTATCTCATAAAGAATAAATATAATATATATTACACTTTAATTTTTGTTAAAAATAAATCTATTTTACAGATATAATATTCTATCTTAATGTTCGTTTAACTTTCATTAATGGTTATTTTTGAATTTATTTACAAAATATTTTTATGTTATGACATAAAAATTTAAAATAAAGTTTGAATTTGATATTTAAAAGTTCATTATATAAATTCCTAAATTCAAAAAACATGTTAAAACTAGCTAAGTTACTACAAAAGTTGTTAAGAAAAAAGTTGTCAATAAAAGGTTCATATACAGTTGTTTATCTATGTAAATAAGTGCATTTAAATTAAAATTAATTATAATATAGTATATTTATGTCATGGAATAAGAGAATGTAATTTTCAAAATTATAAGTGAAAAAATTACAACTTAATCATTGTATATATTAACAAAGAATATAATTTATTTATTTTTTTTATAAAATATTAAAACGTTTCTAAACAAATTAATAAAAAAATATATTAGACTTAAGATAATTGAGAAAGGATTATAACTGCTAATATTTTTAAATCATTTTAATGATCAACATTTTATGTCTTAATTGAAACTATTAAGTGTGTTGTATTCACGTTTAAAATAAATAGTATTTAATAGTCTAATTGCTAAATACTCAAACTTATGCGAAAATACAAAATTTTTGTATTAAAAGTTTATTCAATCCTAGAAGTATACTAGTCAAAAGTCTCTTAAACATGGAAAAATTTGTTAATTCAAGAATTTGTTGTTGTAGTAAAATTATTCGGTATAAGTGAAATATCTTGTTAAGAGATCAAGAGTTAAAGATAATCAAAAGTTACAGGTAAACTAAGATAAACTTTGTGTGTTGATTTCCTATTTTTTAACTCTAATTACCAATAGATTCTTTAAATTGTGCAAATATATATATATCCCTCTTAAAAAGTTTTGTTTTCAAAATTTTGAACGATATTTTTTATTAATTTTTGAAGTTATGTGTAAAATTAAAAATCTTATTCTTATGTAAACAGTATTAACGAAGTTTAAACAAATATTCTAACAAGATACTCTTACAACATTTAAAACACAGTTCAACCTTAATTCTTTTTTTTTTTTCTTATCACTTTTTATATATTTCTAAAATTTATTTATCTAATAAAAAATATGATTCTAAAACTATTCTAATCATATTTTTTTTCTTTTTCAACTTTAACTTCTAAATGCAATGAAAAGAAATGTTAAATTCACAACATTCAAATCTATAAAAGAATTAATTAAGGAAACATATAATTATATAGAAAAAAAAAGTTATATAATGTTTATTACTTTTTTTAACTTGTACTAGAAAAATTGTCACATAATTTTAATTTTTAATTTTTTTCACAAATTGTTGAAAAATATTTTGTTAGAGTAACATTTTATAAATTGATTGAGATACATCTTTAAAGTAGTCTTGATGTAAATTGAAATTTAAATTAATAACAATTGGTAGGTTAATCTTGATTAATTATCAATAACTTACTAATAAAAATTAAAATAAGAACTTTTTAATTTGAATATTTTTATTTCAGAAAAAGCATGATCTTGAAATAAAAAATTAATTTGTTGAATATTTTGAATAATAATTTTTCTTTTAAGTAATAAGGGTATAAATTTGCAAGATCTCATTAACAAAATATGTCCAACTTCTCATGAGAAACTTTAGCTTTAAGAAAGCTTTAGAACTTAGTTTTGACATTATATAATCTTGTAATCAATGTATATTGTTAGATGTTATCGGTCAAGTGAATCATATCATAGTAAATAACAAAAATAAAAATAGTGTATCATTTTCATAGGAAGTAACAATGGTCACACATTCCTAATTCATATTTTTAAGTACTTAGTGAATTGAGTCACTTATTTAACTTAGGAGAATTTTATCAATTTTTCAATTATGAGAAACCTTTTATATCATGCATTTTAACAATGAAGCACTAAGCAAAAAAATACATAATAAAATTGAATCATGAAATCTAAACTAAGATTGAGTAAAATAAGGTTACTCAAGATTCAAATCAAGATTCAATCTTATTATAACCTAATAAATTTAGCAAAACATAGTAAATAAAGAAGAAAAGAGATAGAGAAAAAGATAAAAATGAAAGAAATTTTCATCAAGGCTTTAATCTCTACTTTTACATATTCTTGACCTCTAACTCAAAGAAAAATAAGAAAAAATAAAATCTCAAAATGAGAAAATAAAAAAAAATTGATAAAAGATTTCTAAAATTCAAACTAAGTATTCATTTTTGCAGACTTGATGTAAGGACACAAACAGTTGCATATCCCAACTGCATTCTTCTAGAATATCCACGAGGATTAATATAGGGATTCATATTTGAATATCCTAACTCGGGTCCTCTATGGTGCTTGAGAACTGGAATGTTTGGACATTAGAAATTGTATGTCCTATCTCGCATTTTTTTTAAGTTTTAAAGCAAAAAATTAGAGATATTAAAAACTGAATGTCCTGACGCACTATGTTAGAAATCAATTCTTCTTTTCTACTCTATCAATTTGCAACATCGTCTTTTTCACTTATTTGTTGTCATCTCTGCACTTGAAAACACATAATGAATCATGTATTATGTTGTTAAATATATAATTTTTCATCTTTTGCTTTCAAAAAGATTTTATGCAAAAACAAAAACAAAAAAAAAACAATTTTTGTTTATCTTAATGCATTTATCTTCTTAACCATTTCAAATTTCTGCACAATTAGTTATATAAATTCACTTAGAATGTGGATTTAACATATATACTAAGAAATATTATACTAAGAAATATTATACTTAAAACATGTAATTTACACGATAATTTTTTATTTAATTAAATGAGATATTTTAAATTATTATTTCTCATTGTATATATATGACATTATTATAATAGTAAATTTAACTTTATATAACATTAAGCAAATGAGTTAATCAAGATATTTAATTTAGTATCATTATTAAAATCTTTAGTCAAGTACTATTATTAGAATAATATATAACGACTAGACTAGTATACGAGTAAATTGATAATCAAATATATTAATTCATCGACATGAGATATTATGTCTTTAATAATTGCATATTA